GAAAATATAAGAAAAGAAAGATAAGACATGTATGTACAGTGTGGAACTAATGACACAGCATAGAAATTATTAAATATATAGATCATGAAAGATTAAGATAAAGAACATACGGAACTGAGGAGAGAATTACTTAAGTAAGAATATATAAGAATAAATATATATGTAAAGAATGGAAGAAGAATAAGTATATAAAACAGGGTACTCATTGGAGGAATGCTACACAGAACAAATAAGTATATGAGTAAATAGAATACGAACAGAAAACAGTAGCTGGATGGTAAATTATTGAAAAGAGAAAACTCGGCCCGTTACAGCGGAACAGTGGGCAATACAATGGGGATTTAGGTTTTCAGTTGAGAAGACAGTAGGAGTAGTCTTCACTAAGAAACGTAACATTAAAAATCCAGTATTAAAATTAAATGATACTCCTATTAAATTTCAGACTTCAGTAAAATTTCTTGGTGTTCATTTTGACCGGAAATTAACGTGGAAAAACCACATTAACGAACTTGAAAGTAAATGTCTCAAAGTCACAAACATCCTGAAAGTTTTATCAGGTACTACATGGGGAGCCGATAGGAAATCTTTATTAATGGTGTATAAGACCCTGATCAGATCAAAACTTGATTATGGATGCCAGTTGTATGCTTCGGCATGTGACACCACACTCGCAAAGCTGACCAGAATACAGAACCGATGCCTTCGTCTATGTCTGGGTGCTTACAGGTGTACACGTGTAGGTAAACTAGAGGTTGAGGCCCACGTCCCTCCACTTCACATCAGGAGGGACATGTTGACGCTAAGGTACGGGTTGAGTGCGGCTAGGAAGCGCGGCACAGGCCACCCAGGTTGGTGTGCTGTTGCTAAATTCCGTTTCCTGCAGCTGCGTAGGTCCCCGTCCTCGGTTGTCCGCCTCCAGACCTTGTGCCAGGGTGCTGGTATCCATTTCGAAGACGTTGATAGATACGTTCCACCGTTGTGTCTGCCATGGGAGAACCCCAACTTCCATGTGGAAACATCGTGGCTTCCAGGAGGGAAGAATGACTTTCATCCTGAGCTCCTGAGGCAACTTTTCTATCAATTTCTGGAAGGATACAGCGCCTATACTCACGTGTACACTGACGGGTCCAAGACTGACGACAACGTTGGAGCCGGTATCTGGAGCAGAGACGGGGAGTGGAGCTCCCGCCTGCCGCGGCATACAACCATATTCTCTGCAGAGATGTTCGCAATAAGTAGAGCCATTGACATTGCAATAACAAGCAATGTCAATGATGTTGCTGTCATTTCAGATTCCATGTCAGCTCTTAAAGCAATTCAAGGTGGTGATACTACCAGCAATGAGATACAGGGCAACATTATTAATAAACTACATGAGTGTGCCAAGAATATTGTGTTGGTGTGGGTGCCTGGGCATTGCAACATTTGGGGCAATGAACAGACAGACAGATTAGCAAGAGCGACTGTGGGTCTCGGGGAGACAACTAATGTACCCTGGGAGCCTCAGTCGTGTCTCTCCTTGGGGAAGACATATACAATTGGGACGTGGCAACTTGAGTGGACGAGGTTAGATCTTCATAACAACTGGAAGACTAACATAGGAAACTGGCTTTCAGCATATAGAACGAATAGGAGGGAAGAGGTCGTTCTCGCCAGACTAAGGCTGAACTGTACCTATCTGACCCACCTAAAAGCCTATCTTGACAATTCCTTTCCACCTATCTGTGCCACGTGTAACAAAATTCTCTCCATCCGACATATTCTGACTGAGTGCAGCCAGTACGAACCAGAGCGCCGGCAGCTGGTGATCCTAGCTGCCGAGCAAGGCTTCGTGCTGACTGTACCCAATTTATTGCAAGATGATGTCACCATAAGTGACGCTGTAATAATCTTCCTCAAGGAGACCCATCTTATCGGCATGTTATGATTGACACACGCATGAACTCTTTTTATATCTATAATATGTATGTAACCATGCCCTAAAGCAAATAAAAATGAATAAAACAAAAATTTAAACATACAACATGAGAGACACATCACAAACCTTTTCATTACATACAACACGCACATTTATCAAGTTAAACTGACACCCACCAACACATATTTAAACAAAAAGACACGGGCTACAAAAGACAAAATAAAAAAAAATAAAAAAAATAAAAAAAAAATCACAGAGAAACTAGTCACCTGGTCGGCCATTTCATCTGGTCTGTCAGCAACTCACTATCATATCACTCACTCATACCATAATTCATCCCAAATAAAACAACAAGAAGAAAGAAGTAACCAAAATACCAAGAACAAGAAGAACACAAGAATAACAAGAAAAGAAGAAACAAGAACATCAGATTAGTTGTAGCAAGAAAGAAGACCAAGACTAGAAGAAGAAAGAAGACATCAGCTCCGGCCGAAATAGCCCAAAGGCGAAGTGGCCAGCAATCTCCAATACTTGTCTTGTCTTGTGGGGGTTGGGGGGTGCTTGTGGTAGAAGCGGTACCACTCTTGCCTCGCAAGCAAGATGTCACGGGTTCGATTCCCGGGCAAGCGGAAGTTGTTTGGACACTCTTCCTAGCCCCCTTGGTCCCTGTTCACCTAGCAGTAAAGTAGGTACCTGTTGTAAATCGAAAGGTTGCGAATTCGTATTCAGGGAAAGTTGTTGGAGCTTCTAAACTTGAACTGACACAATCCGTGAGCTATGTGCTAACCAAATAAATGCAGTCGTGTAAAGCCACGGCACTATCTCTCCCACTACAATTCCCTTCTAACCGCCTGCTCCTTCCTCTGTCATCTTCCCCGCTCTGACTTTCGCTACCAACAACTTTGGAGCTTCTAAACTTGAACTGGGGGTTGGTGGTAAGCGTCCACTGATCGGGAGTCCGCTCACACTTGCAACCTGCAGTATCCTTCTATATCTGCAGGTAGGACAACCTACAATCCCAATCCGGTCTGGCTGTTCCAGGAGCTCCAGCCGGAACCACCGAACGGGCCGCCTATAGGCAAAGGCCCGTGTCGGACTACGGTCCGACAATCTCAACAACAACAACAGCCAGGGAGACTATTCTACACTCGGCTACCGGACCAGCAACATCTCTCACAGCTCGTCACCACCTAGCTTCCTCAGAAACCTCCTCGCCCTACAGGACCTCTGAGCAAGTTTCTCCTCACCTAGTCACTCCTAAGCACTGCGCTGTACAACAATATACTGTATATACAGAAAGCGCATTGTGAGTTTCTATCCTACCTCATTCCTGAGTGTGAGATATCTACATGTACGTACGTTTGTGTGCCCATACTAAGAGAATTGACAACTGGCCACATACAGTACGCTACACCCTCACCACCCAGCTCTCTCTACTCAACGCTTATTACCATGCTACCTACCCAGCAACAAGCTGCATTGTACATCCAATACAATATGTATACAGTGAGCACATTGTGAGTTTCCTTTCTCCATCCCATCCTGAGTGTGAACCAATATCTTATACCCCTACAATATCTTGGCAATTAATTTATTAGAGAATATTTATTTTTGATGTACTGTACATTTATGTATAATAACTTTTGATATACGTTTCTGTATATCATAACATTGATATTAGGTATATTTAGGGATAATTTCTCTGGTTTACGTGATGGTCGTTGTTTCCCGATTTTCGGTGTTAAGTATGATCCTTCCCCCTCCCCTCATGACGTCATTGCTATTATCATCAACTACTTAACATACCTTATGCTATTTGTTGACGAGAAAGTTTCTAATAAATTCGTGATAAATTAACTTTGCCGTATGAATTGGGTTAACAGTAATAACAATAACAGCACTGAGCATTAAAGTTAATAATAAAAAGTCATGGCAGTGAAATGGCACCGGAAGGGTGTTGTCTGGGATTTCACACAGGAACATCCTGTCTGTCGCAACTCGGAGCTACAGCATACTTAATTTATTTCAGTATCATTTCTCCATTTATATTCTTTATAATTTCGTTATATTCACAAGAAAAACTTAATATTTGAAGACATACAATCTATGTAAGTTATGTACTGTAGTTTCATTGTTAGACCAACGGTGAAATATTAAAGCCATGTCTGTTGTGCCACTCGTCATTGTCAGATTTCCGGAAACTGATAAAATCTGTGAGATATGAAGGAACTCACCCATACGTCAAATGATTTATGTTACACAATAATAATAATAATAATAATAATGGTAATAATAATAATAATAATTGTATTGCATTATATATTGTAATTCCCAGTGTCACTTAATTTCTCGTCAGGGAAAATTATAGTAATACAGTACTAACAATAATAAAAATCGCAGACCCATTTGATAAAGGCACTTTCTTGATACTTTTAATTATCGAAGGCAATACAGTATTTCACCATTGATTTGCTAAGCAAAAAAAAAAGAGTAAAATCATGGTAGGCGCAGTACTGTATCTATATAGTTTTATTTTATTTAAACTGTACGGCTAACATTTATTGACTACGATAATGTGGTTTATGTTCTCAGAATGTTATTCATGAAGAATTTAATGGAACAAAGCAGGAAAGGCTACGTTAAAACTGGTAAAAAAATTGAGACCAACTTAGTCGATATATTCTGAGCTGGCAGTCACTTAGTTTTATGACCGTAATTGAATTAAGAGGATTATGAATATGGATTAAATTTTGCGTTGTAGACCAAGATTGATTCTACATAAAAAGGTAAACTTAAAGTAAAAAAATAGTGATAATAATTTCCTCTCCGGCAGACGACATCAGCAGCTTGTTTTCCCCTCCCTAACTTTCCTCCGAATATGACTCTGGCTTTAACTCCAAGCTATATCTAAATAATATAAATTGTCTAGAAAATAAAGAAAACACGTGAATAATATTATAAATGAGCTATCTTATTGATTACTCACTGCATAACATGCAAGATTAATGTTTCTTAAATAAATTATTACGAGGTAAACAATGAGTCCAGAAATGTCTTTCGAACTAGTGTTTGGGATTGAGTCATGGCCTCGCTCGGTGGCTTCGTCGAGTTCTTCCAGAAAGGGAAAGTAAGTTTTACATAGATGCCTCGTTTACCTAATCTGGCCAAATAGTTAAGAAAATTACAGGAAGTGGTGTAGCTTCAAGAAAAGTTTATTACCCAGTAAAACACCACCTGGTGTAGCTTTAATGGGAAGAGAGAGCTTGGCCCCTCAGGTCTGGATTACTAGATTGGTGGAGAGGCAAAGTCACAACGGAATGGAATTGTTTATAGATACACTGTTTACATAATAGGTAATTGTCAAGATGATCAGAGCCTCTAAATCCCTCAGCATTTCACCTTACATCTTAGAGGGAAAGTTGGTGATTAAGAATTGGGTTACGGTACTTTTTAGAAGGGTCCATTAAGAGGAATGGAAACTTGAAACTTTGCCAGAATATTGCGACAGATTCTAGTAAAAAAGAACACTGGGCTAATATGGAGGACTTAACAGTCGCTTCCCCCATCTCAGTAACAGTAAGTTCGCCCACGGTAGGTGTTAAGTTAAGTTAGGTTAGGTTAGGTTAGGTTACGACAGGACAGGACAGGACAGGACATGGTCAGGTTAGGATAAGGTTAGGTTAGGGTATGATTAGGTTAGGATAAGGTTAGGTTTAGGTTAGGGTTAGGTTAAGGGGTAATTATATAGGACACCCACGAGCGAAATTGATTGAAAACAATTTTATAAACGCTCGATTTTCATTATAATATTATAGTGGACACTGTTGTAGTTTGTGGAAATATGTTAAAAAATGGATTTTTTAAAATAAACGCTACTTAACATTTGTGGGTATGAAGAACAGACCTAACCAACCAAACCAGAACCTACCTAACCTTGCCAAACTTCCCCAGTATATTAAACAGAAAGAACTTTATATGATATGGTGAAATTTGATACTTTTCTGGACATGAGAAAATACGGTCGCATCGGTGCTATGCAGCCCTGGCGGGTTAGTCCTATATATATTAACCGGTTAAGGTCAGGTTAGGTTAAGTTTAGGGATTGGTTAGGTTAACTTAAAAGGCTAAACTGGAGGACTTCACAGCTGATGCAATATTTGTGTTGATGTTTATATGCTTACTATATTTTCATCACCGAGTTCTGACATCATAATAATTTTTATGGAAATAGCTTTGTTTGGTACTGTAGATAATTAGGCGAATAGTCACACACTACTTGCTAGTTGCAAGTGTATGTTTATGAGCCACATAGATTTGGAGGCTGCGCTCACATTCACAAAAATAATTAAAATTACACTGTATAATAGTATTTTTTTTTAATATGGTGGGGGGGGGGCTTCCAGGGGGATGTACCTCACAGTTAGGAAGTTAGGTAAGGTTTGTTTGGTTAGGTTGGTGAGGTCTTCTAACATTTTTGCCACTTGTTTTTTTTTTAGCAATTAGGGTTAGGTTTGGTTTAATTTAGAAATAACCACTTCTAAAAACATTTTCCATTACTATGACAATGTTCATTATAAAATACAATGAAATTGTAGCCTTTTAAAATTCGTTTTCTATGAAAAATCACCTGCCGTGAAGTTGTAAATAATTACCCAGAACTTTACAGGTAGTACATCTGTTATCCATGTCTTCAGATTTTGGAAATTTCCAAACTCCAGTCATTTTAAGCTTAGTACAGGTACTTGTGAAATCTGGTTGTGAGGAAACTACATTTTGACCGGTATGCAATGTCAGGTGATCTTGTGATATGCTTGAGTTGAATCTGGTGGGAACTCTTATGTGGCCAGACCAGACTGAATCCTTGTGACTCTCATCCACTTTCTGAATTTACTGCAATTTACCTTGTAATTTACACTTCGAAGATACTGTACAGATTAAAAATTATTTTTTTTCTTTATTGTACCTGTTCAAATGAAAATCCTGAATTTAATATTTTTTTATTACTGTATATTATACTGTACCGAATATTTCCTAAATTAAGAAAAATATTCCACCAATTTATTTCTGGTTTGAAGTTTGCCAAATACAGGTAATCAATGTGCTGTACTACCTGTAATGATCTGTCTGGTTTTAGTTGAAATAAACCACTGAGTATATACCGGGTATCACACTATGGTTCATTCCTGCTAAAACCAGAGTTCAGATATAGCCTTTGTCATTTCACCGAAGCACCAAAGATTTTGAAGCCACAGCTTCCTTGTCACTTTACAGGAGTAAATTTGAATTAATGGAAAGAGAGGTATGACCTGAATCTCGTTTTATATTTTGGTACCCAGATTGACAACAAAACTAAGTTCAGCACTATTAAATACTGACTTTGGTCTCTGGGAAGCCATATTTAGCTACAGTACATGGCATGCGTTACACATCATTCAACAGGCACGAAAAAACCACGACTTATTTTTACTCATGATGTCTTGAATAGGACATGCAAGTGATATTCCTGTAATTTGGCCTAGCAATTGGGGAAAAGAATTGGTGAATGAATAAATATAGGTCATAAGACATGTAGTGGCAGATAAGAGTCAAGAGTGTTATCGGTAGTAGGTTGAGTTTGGCTATGCCAACCATTTGAACCATTCTTGATCCGTAAAGTATGCAATTTTCCCCAGTGTCATACCCTCCAGATGCGAAGAAAAAATATTTTGAAAGAGAAAGTTTTCTTTATTTTTGGTGTTAGGGATTTGTAGGGATTACAGTCGGCCCTTAACATACGCAGGTTTATAATACACGGATTTGCAAATACGCGGATTGCCCCGCCGGAGGAATATTCTGTACATTGAAGTAATTGAAGTACATTCAAATCGCGCGCCATTCAACTCGCGCGCGGCACCGAACACGGGACACCGCCCGCTCTCGCAACCTCACACACACACACGTATAGCTCTCCCTCACTCAGTCAGTCTCGCTGTAACCACACTTGTGTTGACATCAGCATTGTAGTTGCAAAAATATTACATTTCCGTGAATGTATTATATCAAGCACAGTATGAATAGAATATCACTAATATAAGATTATTTTAACCGAAAACTACGAAAAAAACGAGTAACAGATCTTGAACATCGGAAGGTTAGGTAAAGTCTTTTGTTTTCATGTAGTTTATCCTAATTTACATTGAAATTCATTACGTTTCAGCAAAACTACTATTTATTTCTGAGAATATGAAAATGTAATGTTTTGCTGAAATGACGTACGTATTACAGTGGAAAGTGACGAAAGCAATGACTCGCTTTCTTTCGTTCAAAAGATGTTACCGTAATCGCTTTTCGAATGGTTTTCAGTTAAAAAACGGTTGTATTATAATAATATTCTATCCTAATTCACTTGTGATGCAACAGTTTTTTAACTGAAAACCATTCGAAAAGCGATTACGGTAACATCTTTTGAACGAAAGAAAGCGAAAGTCATTGTTTTCGTCACGATTTTATCCCACTTTCCACTGTAATACGTACGTCATTTCAGCAAAAATATTACATTTCCGTGAATGTAGTATATCAAGCACAGTATGAATATAATATCATTGTAATATAACAGTATTTTAACCGAAACTATTAAAAAAACGAGTAACATTTCTTGAACATTGGAAGGTTAGGTAAAGTCTTTTGTTTTTGTCATGTATTTTATCCTATTTTACATTGAAATACATCACGTTTCAGCAAAACTACTATTTATTTCTGAGAATATATTCATTCAGGCACAGTTTAGGTAAAATATACATGTGCTGTAACATTTTTTTAATTGAAAACGACAAGGAAAATGATTTTGATGGATTTTAATGAAAATATTCAGAAAGACCCTGGCACTGTCAAGGAAAGTGGCTGCTGAAGGCTTCCAGGACATGGCAGAGGACGAGATTAGGGAGCTAATTGAAGAGCACGACACTGAGCTGACCGAGGAGGATCTACAGGAGTTAGTAGACTCAGGCAAGGAAGAGGAAACGTTGGAGAAGTTGGGGGAGATGACCAGGAATATTGAGGCACTGAAAAACCTGGCCTATAGTATGGACCCCTCCATGGTGCGTGCCCTAAAATTCATGCGAGGGATGGATGACGTTTTCGCTCCATACAAAAACATCATGGAAGAAATGAAAGAAAGAGACGACAACTCCCCATCACCATGTTCTTTGATCACCGAAGGAGAGATTTAACACCATCAATCACTGGCGGCAGTGAGGAAGCAGCTGAATCCACCGTCGCCCCCACTTCACCACCTGTTATGGAATTGAGTGACGATGAGCCCGATGACTCCCGTCCTGTCGCCGAGGATAGGTACTGTTTAGTAAAGTGAAATTTTTATCTCTTTTTTTTTAATAGCTTTTCTTGCCATGTTTATTGTTTGTAAAAATGCACAGCACAGTACAGTTCAGTACTGTACATAGGAAGTGGAGGTGCAGTTATTCACAAAACGTTTGTGTTCGTTGTCGGCAGTAGTGACGGTGAGGAGGTGGAGGAGGGAGCGAGTTGGGAGGAGTGGTGACCTTGGACGCGGGAGCAGGGACAAGTGGAGATGCCAGCCAGTACATTACGGGTGTATTAATTGTTTTTATAGCTATTTTTGCATTTTAATATTAAATATTGTACATTACGTTTCAACAAAACTACCATTTATTTCTGAGAACATGGAAATGTAATATTTTTGCTGAAATGATGTACGTATTACAGTGGAAAGTGGGATAAAATTGTGACGAAAGCAATGACTTTCTCTTTCTTTCGTTGAAAAGATGTTACCGTAATCGCTTTTCGAATGGTTTTCAGTTGTGAGATTATAAGGCTAATGATAGGATAGAAAATTATTGTAATACAGTACGAGTACAACAGTTTTTTAACTGAAAACCATTCGAAAAGCGATTACGGTAAAATCTTTTGAATAACGAAAGAAAGCGAAAGTCATTGTTTTCGTCTTTCCACTGTAATATGTACGTCATTCCAGCAAAAATATTATACTGTATTTCCATATTTATTTCTGAGAATACCTATATTCATTCAGTCACAGTTAAGGTAAAATATACTTGTGATGTAATATTTTAATGAAAATACGGTATCGTAGTTTTCTTTTGTTTCAAATTTAATTAACAAAGATTGATGTTTCAAATGTAATGAACAAAAATTTATGTACAGTACAGTATCTATAAATAAACTTTAATAAATGAATACTTTGTTTTACATCGTCCTGTGCTACTATACCATGGATTTGGCTACTTTGGGCTTGCTATGATGACGCAAGAGATCTGCCCTGGCAATTGTACCGACACTCACAGCTGGTGGTGCGTTGGTGCATTGTTTCCATTGTTTACTGGTAGTTACTGGTAAATATTTTTCAACCTAACGAAACTATTACCCGTTTAGAGGTCGACCCCCAATTTTTTGCCAAATAATTTGGTCTTAAAAACTTGAACTACACACAGGTATGTACGGTAAATAAGGACATGGGGGGACCAGGGTTTTTTTTGGAGGGGGCAGCACATATACGCAGATTTTTAACATCCACGGGTATCTCTGTTACGTATCCCCCGCGTATGTTAAGGGCCGACTGTACTGTATAGTTTAATGGCTATGGAATTGCACGACTGAGTTCTATATGGGCCAACCTAATTGGTGTATTGGAGTATCAAATATGAACCACTTCACCCTTTCTGGCAGCTCCCCAGATGAATTTTTTTGTAGATAATTTTTGGATTTATCCTTCGGTACAGAGAAGTAGATACCGACGGATGCCATTAGTAGATTGGTGTGTTGGTCCTTTTTTATAGATATATATCACACACAAATATGTACTGTATATTAGTTCTGGAATTGATAAGTGGCAGGGCTGAAGTAAACACTTTGTTGGTTTTTCTTTACTGTAGAAAAAATTTAGTTTCACAGGTACAGTACTTAGTTCAACTGAGAGTATATTGTACCTTCTCTACTAGGGGAAATGTCTTAGTGCACATTCACAGGAGAACAGATTTATGTACTGTACAGCCCTGTAAATGTATTGAATGTATATCATTATGTCTAAATCACATGTAAGTTTGTATATTTTCAGCCACGGCTGCAACTCTATTAATAAACCGTTTATTATTATTATTATTACTTAGTGAGGTATTTGCTGGGTAATAAAAGATTCGTTTGATCTGATCTCTCCCTTGTCTCTATATCAAGAGAGAGATGAGGAGCAGACCAGGTCTGTTATGATTTGGTGGACCTATCCTGCCCTCTCGAGTGTGAGAAAGGAAACACGTCAGATATACTGTTGTGCTAACATGAGCTGACCTCAGCCAGACCTTGCTCACTCCCCGAAGGAACTACAACCTCAGCCATGTATAATGTCAACAGCTGAGGCACAATTGAATAACTTGGTGAATAATTTGGTATTATACATTTGGGCAAATATTTATATAATGCAAATGGTGCTGTTACACCGCTCGGCTACCTCCAACCGAGACCTTACAGTTTAAATCCTAGGTATACCTAACCTTGTTACAAGAAAGTGTGCTTTAGCTAAACTTTTTTTCGTGCACATGCCTTTGCAATTCCTTCCGAAAAGTCTTCTTAGAAACTATTGTGTACCTAGAAGAAATCTTCCTGTAACAAATTATCATCACACTCAAGGAACTGATAAATAGATGGTAGGTATAATGAAACCAGGTAGGATTATGCCGGAAGATAAATATAAAGGAAGAGATTCCTCTAAGTCAGGAGACGTTGTTTCATTAATATAAGATAGAAGTTTAAGCTTATCAGAACCAATATGAAGATTACTGAAATATATACAGCTGCTCCTCGACTTACGACAGGGTTAGGGACCCAATTCCAGGTCGTAAGTCGAAAATGCTTAAATAACACAGTACATAGAAAATCTAAAATGGGTGTCTCTTTTTCCTCTCAGCACCACAAAACTCTCTCTTTTAAGCTTGCCAGCCATTTTAAAGTGAATTACAAACAAAAATTTTGTCAGTACACAGCACAATCACTAACTTGGGGACTCAGAAATACATAATTTGACAAAATTTTGGTACAACTAAGGCGGTCGTATGTCCAGGTGGTCGTAAGTCGAGGAGTAGCTGTATTTAGGGGAAATGGTATGGGAACCAGTTCAAAATTAATGTTTTTGACTAATGCAAGATGATAGCGAGTAGGCAAGGTTGTGATTGCATTACTGCTAATTTCACAATAGTCTGATGCTATATGATAACCTTCTACTACTAAATGTTTGCCTACATCCTGGCATATAAGTATCACACTGGTTTGATTTGGGAAAAAGAAATATTGCACATTATTGACATGTGCATGAAACACTAACCTATGTGGTATTGGAGTGTATTCACATTGTTGTAGAGCTGTAGAGACATTAGTTTGTAGTGTAGCTAATTCACATTTAGCCTCTGCAGCCCGTGTGAAGCGAAAGCATACATGCAAGTGTAAATACAGTATGTTGACTTACAGTACAATGATTTAGGACTTCATGCTTAGTTACAGCAACTAATGAAAAATCCTCTGATACTACAATTTGTTCAGAATTAATAGTCCCTCATTCGCTTTCAATGGAAGTGGTTCCAAATGCCATGCATCAAAATTTTTATTTTATTTTAGTGGAATGTGTATTAGTATTTCCCTGTGTGTTAAGGTTGCTTCTAATAAGGGGTAATAATATTCCACTTCATGCTCCTGAAAGAGAGTCTGTACAGGTAGTTAGATGATATTTAGTTTTAGCTATATGTAAAGCGGCAATTAGTTGACCTACTGGCAACAACCGTGCATCAACACGACCTAACCTTGCATTTACAAGATCAGCTATGAGCCTATTATTGGTTTCTATGAAAGCTTCTACCAAGGCCTCAGCTGCATGCATGTATTCTGTGAAGCAGAGTAACCATTCCAGTGTAGATTCTGATCGTGTGAATTCCTGGACAATTCGTGTTAGGCGATTAGTTTCATCAACAATAGCATTCATATTAGAGGTCAGAGTTTGTACTGCCTTCTAGGACTGTTCAGTGGCCCTATTTGTTTCTTAACCACCTCTGAAACTGCATTCATTATATTCCCTAGTTTAGCTACATTTGCGGCGGTTGCTTTACCAAACAAGGTGCTACTTATTAACCCTACAAATATAAACAGACCACGTTTTTGATGCCGCTGAGAATGTACATTCTTCCCGATGTCTTCAGGAGATATAGGAAGCTTTCCCTCGAAGTGATTTACTCGCTTGAGTAGACTATTCATACGGTCATGTTGAAGAGAGATGGTCTGACAGAGTGTTGTAGAGATTGTAGATTGCTGTTCGAGATCATGCAGAGTTTTCATAGCTGTTTCAGTGTGGACAGCTATTGACCTCAGTTGCACTGGCATGTGCATGAAGTCATGTAGCTCGTACTTGACAGTTACAACGTCTTGTACTACCAGTACTTTGCCTAATGGGGCAACTAAAGCTCCGTGTTTGACGATGTCTGCTGGGGATGCGGCTGTTGTCAACACTCTCCAGACCAACAGTAGTAGTGATATCCAAGCCATGTTTGAAAGAGGTGAGGATAATTAACGATTCTTGTTTGTTAATTGTAGTTTTTGGCAATATGTATTGTCTATCGTTACATTTTGTTGAGCAACCGTTGTAGTAGAAGTAAGATTTTCTTGACTAACATTTGGGATCCCTACTAAGTCTCTGCTGACTTTTTTCATTCTATCTCCATGTACTATATCTGATATTTGACATTGGCTCAACTACTTGGAATTTGTTTCCATGTTCATTTGCTTTAATCACTCACGGACCTGTGAATTTAGGTGAGAGTTTTGACATGCGTTCTGGCGCTTTTATCATTACTTTTTCTCCTATTTCTGGAGTTATAGGCTTAGCTTTTTTATGTTGTTTGCCGATCATTTCAGCATGTGAGGCTGCTAAGTGTTTTCGTACTTTTCCATGGATGCTTGTGAAAACATTGATTTGCTTCTTGGCATAGTCATCCACAGGTTCTGGGGCTCCTGCTATTAGATCATTGGTAAGCGTTTATCGGTACCGTAAACTATGTAGTACAGTGAGTTCTGCTATAACGCGTGTTTTGATAACGCGAATTTGCTCTAACGCGATTTATGAATTAGGAACGATATTTGTATAACGCGAACGCTTGTTTGCTATAACGCGATTTTTGCTTACTATTTCTCCAATTTTGTGGTACAGTGGGGTATGCTATAACGAATCTAATTGGTTCTAGAACCTTGTTCGTTATAGCATTCGTTCGTTATAGGATTAATCCGTTCCAGGCCCCCAAATACAACCACTTAACACTGAAAAATATAATATAAAATTGTAAAAATTGTAAAAAAGTGCATAAATATGCATCTAAACCCCTGAAATAAAGAATATCATTAATATTTGTAATAAAAAAACAATAAATTAGAAAAAAAAAAATTTAAATAATGTTCGTTGTAGGAGTTTCGTTCGTTATAGCATTCTCAATTTTATAGGTAAAACCGTTCGTTATAGGAATATTCGTAGTAGGATCCGTTCGTTATAGCATACCCCACTGTATTAACTGTGAATATAGTAAAGAAGAATATCAACAAGAAGCGTTCTGGTGATAGAATTCCCGGTGATGATCATAAAAGAAAGGATATAACACTTGAAGAGAAGCTCGATTTTATCAACCTCAAAATCACCCTTCTCCCCCATCAAGTAAAGTGTTACATTTACTGTATGATTTCATTATTAGATATGAATGTAACATTTATTTAGACTGTGCTATCCTTTGTGTTAGGCTAACTACTAAATTTTTTCGATTTCGAGTAATCTTCACCTAACCCTATTTTCTCCATAAGCCCTGTTATTTCTATTACGCGATTTTCTATAACACGATATTTTACAAGAACACAATTATCGCGTTATAGCAGAACTACCTGTATGGCGATTGGCCTGTAAAGCTATTTATAGATCCATTGAAGGATGTTGCAACCTATGGAAGCCAGTCCTTCCACATATAGAATTTTTCTATTTGTACGCTCGACCAATCCATTTGAAGATGGATGGTAGGCGGTTGTGAAGGTTTGTGTGATGTCATATTGTTGACATATTGCTGTTAAGAGTTGATTCTTAAATTCTTCCCCGTTATCTGAGAGTATCACTCCAAGTGTAGAAAAGGGACAGATTAGATGAGTTACTAATGCATGAGCCACTGATTCGGCTGACTTGTTCTGCAATGGTGCTTGTACCACAAATCTAGAGAAATAGTCAATGCAGACAAGTACTTAACTAGAGACGATGTTTTTTTGGTAGTTCAAATAAATCGATTGCAACTGTATCTCATGGACGCTTCCGGCGTTTGGTATTCTAAGGTTGGAGCAGGATCCATTGTTGTTCCCTTGTGTTTTGCACAAGATAAACATTTAGCAATGTGATGCTCGATGTCGGTCCTCATAGTTTTCCAATAATATTTTTGTCTAATTTCTGTTAGACATCTGTCTCGCCCTGGATGCCCAGCTTGGGGTGCATCATGGAAGAGGGTGAGAATGTATTCCTTTAATGGTGTAGGAATAACAATTTGAGAGATTGACTCTTGTGTTTTCACTGAGCGATATAGTATGTTGTGCCTCAGCTCAAACTGTGAGAGTGGTAGAGGTAATTTGGGCAATTTCACCTCGTCTCCCGATTCAAAGGCATATATAACCTTGGACCATAGTGGATTCTGTAACTGTTCTGCCCTTAACTGTGACAGGGTTGAACGTAGGTAGTGGCGTGACAGGAGCTATGTGGCGTGGCCCGGCAAATACATGAAGTCAGGTGTGAACTCCTGTATGGTTAGATACCAGCGAGCTAAACGCCCTGATAAATTCTTCCCATTAAATAGTTCTGTCACAGCTACATGATCTGTGTGGACTGTGATCGGATATCCCCAAATGAGATTCCTAAAATGCTTGAGAACCCACACTACAGCTAATGCTTCTAAGTGAATAATTGAATAGCGTGTTTCTGCATCGTTGAGGGTGCGACTGGCGTATGCCATTACCCGCCAATTTTCTCGATGATCAGTTTGCATGAGCACTGCCCCTAATCCTAGGCCTGAGGCAAATACACATGGTATATGATTTTGTGTAGCCCAGACAGGCTAACACTGAAGCGTTTGTTAAAGCGCTCTTGAGGGCATTAAAACTGTCCTCTTGTTCGTTATTCCATGTTAACTCCACATCCTTTTTTGAGGAGTTTTGTGAGTGGTGATGCTAACTTGGCATTACCTTCAATGAAAGAACGGTGGTATCCTGATAATCGTAGGAAACTACGAAGTTGATCTATGTTCTTGGGACAAGGGAATTGCTTCACCTCTACCTTGCAATCTATTGTGTGTATGCCATTGCCATCTACTACGTGTCCTAGAAATTGGATTTTGGATTTGAGAAATTCACATTTGGAAAATTTCACTTTCAATCCAATTAGATGTAGCTTGGTGAAAACTTTAAGTAGTTTCTTTAAATGGCTTTGTAAATCTTTGTTTACTATGATAAGATCAACCAGATAGGCATAGACTGTGTTACCTATCATTCCAGCAAACAAGGTGTCTATCATTCTTTGGAATGTTAGCGGCACATTTCTTAGGCCAAATAGCATTCTTAAGAATTCAAAATGTCCCATAGACATACTGAACACAGTTATCTCGCGGGATTCCTCATGTAAGGAAAATTGCCAGTACCCGCTAAGTAAATCTGAGTTACTGAAGATTGCGTTGTCTTTTCCCTGTGACTGTAGTAAGTCAGTTAGGACAGGCATTGGAACCTGTCTGGTACAGTTACCTGGTTGACTCGTCAAAAATCTATGACTGGTCTCCATCCACCATCTTTCTTGGGAACTAAAAATAAAATTGAGTATCATGGTGATGAGGAGGGTTGGATTACCTGTTGGTCCACCATGTCTTGTACTATCTATTGGAGTACCGCCCTTCTGCTGTGGGGTAGCCTTTATGCTGGGAAGTAGATTGGGTTAGTGTCCGGCTTGAGTTTAATATGATGGTTTGTCAACGTTGTTTTACCTTGGGGTTCTCCAGGTAATGCTATGATTTCCTTGAACTCGGCGAGTAATTCCAAAAGATCACTTTTGCCTTGAGGATGATCGACTACTTTCATGTGTGGAGCTATTAACGCTGCTTTATCTACAATATGTGATTTTTCGCTCGATTCCCCGTGTTATACTATCTATTGGTAATTCTATTGGCTCTTCGACAACCGCTTAGTCGTAAACAAGGAAATTACATAAACAACATCCCTTTCATAAGGTTATGGGTCCCCCAGTTCTATTGAGGACGAGGACATCTGTGAGACTACCTAATCTCACAGTACTTAAGGTAGACTCAAGTGACAAACCTTTCACTTGTGAACTTTCACACAACATATGTTCCTTCACTCACATTTGGCAAACGTACCGTGACTCTAGTAAGTGCCTGGCTGTCTAACCGTTGTACACCAGTTAACACAGCAGGCGTTAGAGCCCAGTTCTGGCCGCTTTCTACAGAAATGTCCTTTGAGCTACTAGTTGGAGTTTCAGAGAGTTGACTCCATAACTAATTGCTGCTGTGCCAAAGACTCCCCCGTGCCTGTTGAGGCAGTTATTACACGAACACCTGAAGTAAGCAATGGATGTGAAGTTTGCATTGCGTGATATGTTTTACAATTATGCGTGATTGTTTGATCTCGTGGCTGAGCGTTAATGTTGTTCTGCCTTAGAGTGGTCAGACCAAGTAACCCATCTGCTTCCAGAACTGCTTGACCCCCACTTCATGGTTCGCCAAATCTTGTTCTTGTTCCTCGTCCTCGCTATCGTTGCCACTCTCTAAGTTCTGCAGTTCATCTTAGGTGTTGGTGAAGGTGTTCAGGAGCTGAAACTTCTTGGCGGAGAAAGCAGCCTTCACGTTGTAAATCAACT